GGCCCCCACTTGCTGCTGCAGCAACGACGGGGGGCCCCCAGGGGGCCCCTGGGGGGCTCGAAGGCAGCATAAGGACCTGCAGCCCCTGCCCCTGAGGGGGGCCCCCCTCTGCTGCAGCGGGGGCCCCCGTGGGGCCCCCCTTGGGGGCCTCCGAGGGGGCCCCCGAGGGGGCCCCCGAGCGGGCCCCCTTGGGGGCCCCCAGCTGGCTGGGGGGCCCCCAGCAAGGGGAGCAGCAGTGAGGAGGAGACAAAGGGACATGCGCATGCACGCAGCCACACAGCCAGGGGCCCCCGCAGCTTTGCCCGCAGGGGCCCCCACACTGCTGCTGCTGCTGCTGCTGCTGCTGCTGCTGCTGCTGCTGCTGCTGCTGCTGGGGGCACCAGTGATGGCAGTGAGGGGGCCCCTGAGAGGGCCTTTCAGGGGGCCCCTCACTGGGGGGCCCCCCAAAGGGGCCAGTGGGGTAGGAAGGGGCTTGAGGGGGGCCCCCCAAGGGGGCCCTTTTGCTGCTCTTTTCTGTCAGCAGAAGGGGCCCCTGCTGGGGGCCCCCTTCCCGAGAAGCAAAACGGGGGGCCCCCCAGAGTTTGCTGCTGCTGCTTTCCTGGATAAGGCTCATTACCTCGCTCTGCACGCAGCAGCAGCAGAAACAGCAGCAGCAGCAGCAGCAGCAGCAGCAGCAGCAGCAGCAGCAGCAGCAGCAGCAGCAGCAGCAGCAAATGAATTTATTAAAAAGCATTCTTCGAAGCATGTCCCTTTCATCAACCAAGTCACCAAACAAACAGCTGCAAGCAAAGACCCAACAAAACCCTCTGGGGGCCCCCCGGGGGCCCCCCGAGGCCCTCTAGGGCCCCTTATGGGGCCCCCAGGGGGCCCCTAGGGGACCCCACTACCCTCAGGAGGTCCTCAGGGGGCCCCTAGGGGGCCCCCAGGGGGCCCCCAGGGGGCCCCCAGGGGGCCCCCAGGGGGCCCCCAGGGGCCCCTAAGGAGGCAGAAGGGCAGGGACTGACTCTTAGCTTTGTTGCTTGTCTGACGAGGTCCTTGCTGTCGTGTTCTGCTGCTTTGCCCTGGCTGTCTCCCTTGCTGCTGCTCTTGCTGCTGCTGCTGCTGCTGCTGCTGCTGCTGTGCTGCTGCTGCTGCTGCTGCTGCAGCCCCGCGGGGGCCCCCCCACTCTCCCTTGTTTCTTCATCGCTGCTGAAGTGAGGGGTCACTGGAGCTTCTGCTGCAGTGTCTCCTTGGGTCTCCTTTTCGAGGGCCCCCTGGCTGAGTTGCAGAAGCTGTGGGGCCCCCTGGGGGCCCCCGGGGGCCCCCGGGGGCCCCCGGGGGCCCCCCGGGGGCCCCCCGGGGGCCCCCGAAGGGGCCGCCTGGACCCTCCAGTCGAGGGTAAAAGTGAGCTGCTGCACTGTCTCCTCAGTGTCTCCAAAAGTCTCTTCTGTTTCTTCAGAAATTGGAGTTCCCGGAGAAGGGCTTTTGGGGGCCCCCAGGCCCCTTCGCAGGCGGCAGTGGGGCCCCCCGGGGGCCCCCCCCCGCGGGGCCCTCAGCCGGGGGGGCCCCCCTGGGGGCCCCCCTGGGGGCCCCCAGGGGGGCCCCTTCAGGGGGCCCCCAGCTGGGGGGCCCCCCTCCCCCTCGGAGGCTGGAGTTTCCGGGGACTCTTCAGGTGTACGTACACCCCGCGAACTGTACCCTTCAGGTGTCTCCTCACCTCCCCTAAGGGGCCCCTCAGCTCCAGAGGGGGCCCCCAATGGGGGCCCCCTAGTCCCCGAGGGGCCCCCATTAGACCCTGGGGGGCCCCCATTAGACCCTAGGGGGCCCCCATTAGACCCTGGGGGGCCCCCATTAGACCCTGGGGGGGCCCCGTTAGACCCTGGGGGGCCCCCATTAGACCCTGGGGGGCCCCCATTAGACCCTGGGGGGCCCCTATAGGACTCCTGGGGGCCCCCGTAGGGACTTGGGGGCCCCCCATTGGACCCTGGGGGCCCCAGGGGCCCCAAGTCCCTCTTTCTGCGGCCATAGGGGGCCCCCTGGGGGCCCCGTTGCCTGCTGTAGGCCTGGGAGTCTGAAGAGTTGCTGCTGCTGCTGCCGCCGCTGCTGCGGCTGCTGCTGCTGTTGCGGCTGCTGCTGCTGTTGCGGCTGCTGCTGCTGTTGCTGCGGCTGCTGCTGCTGCTGCAGCGCGAGTCTCTGCTGCTGAACAGCTGCCGGACTGCAGCAGTACCCTTCGAAGCGTACGGGGGGCCCCCCGCTGCTGCTGCTGCTGCTGCTGCTGCTGCTGCTGCTGCTGTGGGGCCCCGGGGGGCCCCCTCGTAGTCCACGCTGCAGCTGAACAGCCGCCCCGTTAGATTAAGAGGATCCTCAGACTCCTGCTGCTGCTGCTGCTGCTGCTGCTGCTGCTGCTGCTGCCAGTGGTTGCTGCTGCGCCAGTGGTTGTGGGGCGCGGATTTGAGGTGTATAGGCACCTCAACTATGCTCATGAAGTTTGTCTTTTTGTCTTTTGTTTTTAATTGAGTTTTAAATGTTTCTTCAGAGCAGCAAAAAGGGTCTTCTTGCTCAGCAGCAGCAGCAGCAGCAGCAGCAGCAGCAGCAGCAGCAGCAGGGGGGCCCCCGGCGGGAGACGCGGGGCCCTCAGCAGCAGCAGCAGGCTCAGCAGCAAGCTGCTGCAGCAGCCAGCTGCCCCGGCGCTGCTGCTGCAGCAGCAGCAGCAGCAAACGCGACACGCGAGAGGCCTCCAGCAAACTCCAGTCCTGCTGCCCCTCCAGCAGAATCTGATGCAAAAAACACAAACCCTAAACCCTAAACCCTAAACCCTAAACCCTAAACCCTAGACACGAAGAGCCCCTGGTTCCCGGCAACAGCCCTTAAACCCTAAACCCTACACTCTAAACCCTAAACCCTAAACCCTAAGAGTCCCGGAGGAAAGCAGAGACTCAACCATCCACTCCCACACCGTGGGCCCAAACCCTAAACCCCAAACCCTAAACCCCAAACCCTAAACCCCAAACCCTAAACCCCAAACCCTTAACCCCAAACCCTAAACCCTAAACCCTAAACCCTAAACCCTAAACCCTAAACCCTGCAAGCTCGCGAGAAAGTGGACTTGCCTTCTAGGGTCGATGGTTTGCTGCTTGATTTGTCTCTTGATAGCAGCAGCAGCATTGGCCAGGCGCAGCAGCAGCAGCGGGGGGGCCCCCCCCCAGCAGCTGCGCTGCTGCAGTTTTTGCCAAGTTTAAATCATTTAAGGCCGAAGAAGAAACTGACAATCTTAAAAGAGATTCCAAAATAAAAAAGGCATTTAAATCCCCCCGAGGTCCTGAAGAAATCCAAAAAGAAAAAGAAAAAAGAGAAAAGTTGCAGAAAAAAAAATCTTTTTGCCAAAAAATGAAAGAAATCCCGCAATCAAAAAGATACACCCCACTGTACATACACCCCACTGTACATACACCCCACACCCCACAATGCATGCAGCCCACTGTACATACACCCCACACCCCACAGTGCATGCAGCCCACTGCAGATACACCCCACTGTACATACACCCCACACCCCACAGTGCATGCAGCCCACTGTACATACACCCCACTTCAGATACACCCCACTGTACATACACCCCACAAACCCCACTGTACATACACTCCAGTGTACGTACACCCCACACCCCACAGTGCATGCAGCCCACTGTACATACACCCCACTGGAGATACACCCCACACCCCACAGTGCATGCAGCCCACTGTACATACACCCCACAAACCCCACTGTACATACACCCCAGTGTACGTACACCCCGCTGTACGTACACCCCACAGCAGATAACCCCACAGCATATGCACCCCAGTGTACGTACACCCCACAAATAATAAACCCCACAAATAATAAACCCCACAAATAACAAAACCCTGGTGTAGATACACCCGAGAAGGGAGAGACAAGAATCAGCAGCAAAACAAGTTTTGCTGCTTTGGCGCAAAAAGATAAATAACAAATAAATAATAAATAAATAATAAATAAATAATAAATAATAATAAATAAACAATAAATATATATTAAATTAATAATTAATTACTAATAATAATAATTAATGAATAATAAAATAATTGTAATTGCTTGAGGCTACAGCAGAAGACTAAAAGAAAAAAAAGAAATAAATAAAAAAAGAAAAAGAAGATAAAAAGTAAAAGAGATAAAGGCCAACAGAAACAAAAGAAGAAACAAAACAAATTACAAATAAATAAAACAAAATAAAACCAACTAAAACAAAATAAAATACAATAAAATAAGATAAAATAAAATAAAATAAAATAAAATAAAATAAAATAAAATAAAATAAGATAATAAAACGAATAAAATAATATAATAACATAATATAATATAATAATATAATATAATAATAAAATATAATATAATAATAAAATAAAATAAAATAAAATAAAATAAAATAAAATAAAATAAAATAACTGAAAGAAATAACATCACCTGCATTGGGTGCTGTTCCGAGTGTATCTACACCTGCGACTTCGACGAAAATAATTTCAGCTCTATAAACCACAGCAGCAGCAGCAGCAGCAGCAGCAGCAGCTGCTGCTGCTGCTGCTGCTGCTGCTGCTGCTGCTGCTGCTGCTGCGTCTGCGCCGCTTGCTGCCTCCTGCGCTGCTGCTTCTGCTGCTTGAATTGGATCTTCGTGAATTGTTTTTTTGTCATTTATTTCTTTTGGATTTATTTTTTTATTTTTAATTTCTTTTTTGTTTTTTTCTTTTTGCGTCTCCGCCCTTTCCACCACCAAACGAAAGAGGCTGTGGGCCCCCCCGCGCTGCAGCAGAATGTCCCGGGCCTTTTTAAATGCTGCTGCTCTGCAGCAGCGCAGCAGACAAACCCTAAACCCTAAACCCTAAACCCTAAACCCTAAACCCTAAACCCTAAACCCTAGGCAGCAAAAGGGGCAAAGGGGAGCTGGGAGGAGCCCGAGAGACGCAAACCCTAAACCCTCAGCCCTAGAGCCGAAGCCGACTGCCCACAGAACCCTAAACCCTAAACCCTAAACCCTAAACCCTAAACCCTAAACCCTAGGCTCACTTGACGACAGCTTTGATGGCCTCTTCGACATTAGTGACGTCTACCTCCATGAGCCCCTCGAGTGCCCCAAACCCGCTGCAGCCGCTGCTGCTTCCGCTGCTGCTTCCGCTGCTGCTGCTGCTGCTGCTGCTCCTGCTGCTGCTGCTGCTGCAGTGCTTCAGCGCCAGCGTGGGAATTCGCTGCCCCGGGCTGTACCCCTCAATAGCCCGCAGCAAATCTCCAATTTCATTTTCTCGAATTTCCAAAAAAGAAAAACTAACATTAAATTCATTTGTTGAGTTTTCGCTGTACCCTTTAAGGGCCTCTGCAGCCTGGGGGCCCCCCTGGGGGCCCCTCTGGGGGCCCCTGCTGGAGGGCCCCTGGGGCGCGGGGGCCCTCTCCGGGTAGCTCGCAAGGAGGCCCGGAGGCTGGGGGCCCCTGCTGCTGCTGCTGCTGCTGCTGCTGCTGCTGCTGCTGCTGCTGCTGCTGCTGAGGATCTTTGTTTTGGCTGTTTTGGAGTGGGGATTTGCGTAAGAAGAAATGTGAGAAAATAAATCCCAAAGTGCTGCTGGCACTAAACCGGGGGCCTCCAAAGAGCCGAAGAGGCTGTGGGTTTTCCCGCTGCTGCGGCCCCCCGCAGCAAGCACCAGGCTGCTGACGCCCTGCGCAGCAGCAGCAGCAGCAGCAGCAGCAGCAGCAGCAGCAGCAGCAGCAGCAGCGGCGGCGGGGGTGGTGGCGGCAGCGCACAGACGAAGGGGCCGGGAAAGAGGCCCGCGGGAAACGCCGAAGCAGCAGCAGCGCCAGCTAATGAAGCAGCAGCAGCAGCAGCAGCAGCAGCAGCAGCAGCAGCAGAGGTAGCAGGCTGTAGCAGCAAAAGCAGCAGCAGCAGCAGCAACAGCAAAGTTCCCTTACCTCAGTCGCCTGCAGCACAAGCGGCTGAACTGTCTCCACATATATTTCCGTATTGCACACGTCCTCAGAGAAGACCCTGCAGCTGCAGCAGCAGCAGCAGCAGCAGCAGCAGCAGCAGCAGCAGCAGCAGCAGCAGCATCAGGTGCAGCGGCAGCAGCAGCAAGTGCAGCAGCAAGCGCGCCGCAGCAGCAGCTTAACAGCTAATTGATTATGCACTTATAGCAGTGCAGCAAAAACAAAAAGGAGGCACAAAGAGTGGCAAACGGTGAAGGGCAACATATGCTGCTGCTGCTGCTGCTGCTGCTGCTGCTGCTGCTGCTGCTGCTGCTGCTGCTGCTGCTGCTTACTTCTTGTTGAGGGCAGCAGCAACTGCTGCTGCTGCTTCCGAAGGGATAGAGACGCCAAGGGGCCCAGCAGCAGCAGCAGCAGCAGCAGGGGATGCAGGAAGGGCAAGTTTGTTTATCTGCTGCCAGTTAAGAGGCCTAAGCCTGACGCAAACAGTTGCTGCTGCTTCCTCGGGAAAAGGGGACATCCTGGCTGCTGCTGCTGCTGCTGCAGCTGCTGCTGTTGCTGCTGCTGCTGTGCATGCATCTGTCTGTGCAGCAAAGGCAGGGGGGCCCCTCCTGCGCAGCAGCTGGTGAGCAGCGGGAAGGCAAGCGGCGCTGGCTGCGGTTTGCTGCAGCTGCTGCCTTTCTAGTGTTAAATTGAGGTTTAATTAATTAAATAAAATGAAAATAATAAATAAATTAAATCAATTTCCGCCAATTTCAACGCGGGAGAGGCTGGACCCCGCGGCGGCAGCAGCCGGGCAGCGGCGGAGTCCACTGGAAAGCGGCGGCCCGGGGAGCAGCTCCAGCCGCCCTTTTCAAGCTATTAAGGCTTTAATTAAATTAAAACAAATAATTTAATTCATTAATTTCGTTTTTATTCAAAAAGAACGGCCCCAGCTTTCGAACGAGCCCCCCGGAGCCGCGCAGACGCGCAGCCGACCGCCTGGGGCCTTGAGTGTACAGACACCCGAGCGCAGCGGCGAGCCGCGGATTCAAAACAACAAAAATAAACATTTAATTTAATTTAATTTAATTTAATTTAATTTAATTTGATCTTTTAATTTTGTTTTCATTCGTTTAGTGCTGCCATGAGCCGCGCTGCAGGGTGGGAGCTGCAGCAGACCTCCCGCTAAGGCCTGTGGTCAAGGGTTTAGGGTTTAGGGTTTAGGGTTTAGGGTCTGGGGTTCAGGTGTGCGCTGTCTGTAGATCCCAAAATCGAATTCAACATTGAAATGTAAAAGAGTTTCATGATTTCCTACTTCAGTTTTAATGCCTGAGGGTTTAGGGTTTAGGATTTGCAGCCTAGGGTTTAGGGTTTAGGGTTTAGGGTTTAGGGTTTAGGGTTTGAAGTTTCATTGCAGCGAGAAAGCCTCGCCAGGAGCAGCCGCCCGTACCCAAGTTGAGTGAATAGTTAAAATGAAACAGTTGAATTAATTCTTTTTGAAAAATAAATTCCTAAAAGTATTTATTTAATTTCATTTAATTAATTTCATTTCAAGAAAATCCTTTTGGCTTTTGTTTTCCTTTCAAAGGAGATCTCTCGCATTTAAATGCACAAGTGCATGCAAAAGCTTTCATTCATTATTTATTTATTTATTTATTTGCTTGTTTATTTATTTATAATTACTTTAATATTTATTCATTTATCTATTTACAACTATTCTATTATTTATTTACCTACTTATAATTATTTTATTATTTAATTATAATTATAATTATTTTACCATTTATTTATTTATTTTTATTTTCATCTTTTTTCCCCTACGCGGTGTACAGACACCTCACTTCCAAGCCACCGCGCCAGTGCGGCTTCTGGAAGTAAATAAATAAATAATAAGTAATAAACAAATAATAATAAATAATAAACAAATAATAATAAATAATAAACAAATAATAATAAATAATAAATAAATAATAAATAAATAATAAATAAATAATAAATAAATAAGTAATTGGCGGTGCATGCACTTGACCACAGACACCTGAATGAGGTGTACGTACACCCGGTTCCAAAAGGCGCAGCAAATTGCAGATTTGACAAAAAAGAAAATTCTGAAAATTAAAAAACAAAAAAGTTTCTAAAGTGGGTTTCTGCAGCATTTGTTTCCTGCTGCAGCTGCTTTTGCTGCAGTCGTTTTGCTGCTGCCACTTTGCTGCTGCTGCTTCTGCTGCTGTCACTATTGCTGCTGCCACTTTTGCTGCTGCAACTTTTGCTGCTGTAACTTTTGCTGCTGCTACTTTTGCTGCTGCTGCTTTTGCTGCTGCCTCACCGCTGCCCGGCAGCAGCAGCAAGCTCCAGCAGCAAGTTCAAATGAGCCTTTTCGAACAAAAAGGGGGAAATGTGGAATTTAAAACGGGCTTTAGGGTTTAGGGTTTAGGGTTTAGGGTTTTGCGTTAGGCGTTCGGCGCTAGGGTTTACGGTTTTGCCGCTAGGGCCTAGGGTTTCGGCGCTACGGTTTAGGGTTTAGGGTTTAGGGTTTAGGGCTCAGGGTTTAGAGTTCAGAGCTTAAAGTTTATGGGTTAGGGTTTAGGGTTCAGCAGCTAGGGTTTGGAGTTTCTCACGCAGACTGTAGCGGTTGTCACTTAGAATTAGGGTTTAGGGTTTAGGGTTTAGGGTATAGGGTTTAGGGTTTAGGGTTTGACTGCGCAGACAATAGATTTGCACGTTTGTACAAAACCGTCTTCGTTGATGACACGTAAAGTGGTACGTTCTTCTGCACTTGCTGCTGCTGCTGCCGCTGCTGCTGCTGCTGCTGCTGCTGCTGCTGCTGCTGCTGCTGCTGTGCATGCAGTCTAGTGTGTATGGCTACAGTTTTGCTGCTACAAGTAGCATTAAAAACTAGCTTGGCGTTTTAGGATTTTTGTTTGGTAGCTGCCCACGGCAGGACAATTTGCTGCTGCTGCAGCAGCAGCAGCAGGAGGTAATCCACTGCTGCTGCTGCTGCTGCTGCTGCTGCTTGTGCTGCGCTTCAATGTGCAAGGCAGCAGGCGCTGGGCAGCGCCCGCAGCAGCTGCTGCCGCGGGAGCTGCGGCTGCTGCCCCAGTTGCTGCAGCTGCAGCTTTTGTGGCGCGAGATATAACTGCTGCTGCTGCAGCAGTGTCTGCTGCTGCTGCTGCTGCTGCTGCTGCTGCTGCTGCGAGGCAGCGTGGTTGTCCACTGGTCTGCAGCGGTCACCGCCCGGTTGCTGCTGCTGCTGCGGCGCTTCTCTCTTTTGCTGCTGCTGCTGCTCAGGCTGAAAATCTCGAGTATTTGAATAAATTAAAAACAAAATAAAAATAAAATAAATTTAATTAAATAGAACGCAAAATTAAGAGCTGCTGCAGCAGGGAACACGGCCAGGGTCACCTGCTGCTGCAGCGGGTGTTGGGGCCCCACGGGTGGGTGGTGCTGCAGCGGCAGGCGAGCAGCAAAAAGAGCCAGCCCCAGGCCTTTGTAAATGTTTAAAAGGTGAATTTAATTTAAATTTAATAATTTTAATTCATTTTTGTCTTTTGTTTGTTCAAATTAGCCCGCAGAAAGCCCCCAGGGTCACCTCCGCACTGCTGCGCAGCACAGCTGCAGCGCCGCCTCGCCTGCACACTTGCTGCAGCAAACTTCCCCGATTTCTCCTTCTTTTTAGCATTTTGCAAAACTAAACAACAAATTTAATCCATTTAATTCATTTAATTCTTTAATTTGAGAAATTCCACCCAGGTGAGCTCCCCTGCCAGCGAGCGGCTGGCGCCTCTTAGCTGCAGAGGGGGAATGAACGCAACAAGCCCAAACCAGTGAAATAAATTGAATTAAATTGATTAAATTAATTAAATCAATTAAATTAATTTGATTAATTTAATTAAATTAAACTAAATGGAATTAATTTCGAAGATTTGCATGCTCGCGGGGCCCCGAGGAAGCAAAACAGGAAAAAGAGTTTTTATGAATTCCTTTTCTTGTCTTTTCTTTTTTTTGCTTCTTGCAGGTGCGTCTTTGCTGCTTGCTGCAGCAGCAGCACTCGAGGAAGCATTTTGCTGCTGCTGAGAAAATATATTTTAATTTAATTTCAAAAATATATTTTCTTTATTTAGTGCTTCTCTTCTTGCTGCTGCGAGTTGGGTTTTCTTTTCTTATGTTGCTGCACCCCGGCGCTGCTATTCCCCGGCAGTGCGTTGCCCCCAAACCCTAAACCCTAAACCCTAAACCCTAAACCCTAAACCCTAAACCGTAAGCCCTAGGGCAGCGGCCTCTGTGGGGACCTCAGCGGCAATGAGGCCCTTCCTAGCGCTATTCACTTTCGCCCTCTCGGGCGCTGCTGCGGCAGCAGCAGCAGCAGCAGCAGCAGCAGCAGCAGCAAACCAGCCTAGCACTGCTACATTCTGGGAGATGCAGGAGGGTGCCGGAATGATCCCCAACAGCAGCAGCAGCAGCAGCAGCAGCAGCAACAACAGCAGCAGCAGCAGCAACAGCAGCAGCAGAGGGCGCCTGCGGCCGGGGCATGTTCCTGAAGAAAGCGACACCAGCGGCCGGCAGCAAATGGAACAGCTGCAGCAGCAGCTGCAGCAGCAGCAGCAGCAGCAGCAAACTGATCACTCTATAGAAGAAATAAACACAACCCCACCCCGCCCTGTCACGACCACCACAACAGCAGCAACAGCAGCAGCAGCAACTGCAGCAGCAACAACTGCAGCAGCAAGAAGAAGATGGACACCGAAGGCCACCACCGAGCCAGCTGCCACGCAGACTGCTGCAGCAGCACCAGCAACAGCAGCACCAACTGCAGCAGCAACTGCAACAGAAAGAGCAGCCGGCTCCGTCTTGGCCGTTGAAATCAGGCAGCAGCAGCAGCAGCAGCAGCAGCAGCAGCAGCAGCAGCAGCAGCAGCAGCAGCAGCAGCAGCAGCACTACAACCACCACCACCACTACCACCACCACGGCCAGCACCACCACCACCGCTGCCAGAACCACCAGAGCCGCTGCCGAAACCAGCAGCAGCAACACGAGCAGCAGCAGCAGCAGCAGCAGCAGCAGCACCAGCAACGCCAGCAGCAGCAGCAGCAGCAGCACGCCGACAAGCAGCAGCAGCAGCAGCAGCAGGCCGAGAAGCAGCAGCAGCAGGCCCACAAGCAGCAGCAGCAGCAGCAGGCCAACAATCAGCAGCAACAGCATCAGCAGCAGGCCCACAAGCAGCAGCAGCAGCAGCAGCAGCAGCAGGCCCACAAGCAGCAGCAGCTGGTTCACAAGCAGCAGCAGCAGCAGCAGCAGCAGGCCAACAAGCAGCAGCAGCGGCAGCAGCAGCACTAGGCCCACAAGTAGCAGCAGCAGCAGCAGGCCCACAAGCAGCAGCAGCGGCAGCAGCAGCAGGCCCACAAGCAGCAGCAGCAGCAGTAGGCCCACAAGCAGCGGCAGCAGCAGCAGCAGGCCCACAAGCAGCAGCAGCAGCAGCAGCAGGCCCACAAGCAGCAGCAGCGGGCCCACAAGCAGCAGCAGCGGCAGCAGCAGCAGCAGCAGGCCCACAAGCAGCAGCAGCAGCAGCAGTGGCAGCAACAGCAGGCTCGCCAGCAGCAGCAGCAGTGGCAGCAGCAGCAGGCCCGCAAGCAGCAGCAGCAGCAGCAGGCCCGCAAGCAGCAGCAGCAGCAACAGTAGCAACGACAGCAACAGGTCCACAGAAAGCAGCGGCAGCAGCAACAGCGCCAGCAGTGGCTCCCCCAGCAGCAGCAGCAGCGGCAGCAGCAGCAGCAGCAGCAGCAGCAGCAGCAGCAGCAGCAGCGCGGAACGTCGCCCGTTGGGATCTGTTGCTGCAGCAGCAGAAAAGCCAATAATGTGGCCGCAGCAAGATGCAGTGAGTGGGCAGCAAGTGCCGTACTGGGGGGCCATAGCAAACCCAGCAGCAGCAAACTTAGCAGCAAACTCAGCCCCAGCAGCAGCAGCAGCAGCAGCAGCAGCAGCAGCAGCAGCAAACCTCGGTGCTGCAGTGCAGCGGAGGCCCCAGGCCTGGGGGGGCCCCCTTATCCCCGCAAGGCCAGACAGGGGCCCCCCAACTGTACCCTTGCCTTTGGGGAGGCCCCGGGGGGCCCCCCTGATGCTGCGGCCTTTGGGGGGTATGATGGAGGAGAGCCGCAGCAGCACAGCAGCGCTGCTGCGCCCCCACCGTCCTGCTGCTGCTGCTGCTGCTGCTGCTGCTGCTGCTGTTCTCGCAGATGCTGCTGTGCCTACTGTTGTTGCTGCTCCTGCTGCTGCTGCGGCCCCAAGGTGGCAGCCAACCGGCCTGGGGGGCCTTCGGGCGATCTAGTAGCTCGAAACTAACAGCAGCAGCAACAGCAGCAGCAGCAGCAACAGCAGCAGCAGCAGCAGCTGCTGCTGCTGCTGCTGCTCCAGCGGCTGCTGCTGCTGCGACGATCCGCAGATGCATCCAAAACAGCTTAAAATTAATTGGTCTCTAGGGAACCCCAAATGCAGCACAAACTGCTTCTCCAGCAGCAGCTGCTGCAGCAGCAGCTGCTGCTGCTGCTGCAGCTGCAGCAGCTGCTGCTGCTGCTTCTAAAGCTTACTGAGCTGCGCATTTGCATTTGCCCGCGCGCATGCAGCAGCAACTTCTGCTGCGGTCTTTTAAATGTGTCCATTGGTCAGACCATAGCAGCAACAAATCTTCTATTGTCTTTTTATTTTCTTTTTTATTTCTTTTTAATTGGCAGCTAAAAGACCAATTGAGAGCAGCAGCAGCAAAAGTTCTCAGCAGCTACAGGCTGCGCGCTGCTGCTGTCGCTCCCAGAACCTGCATCTGCTGCAGCTGCAGCAGCAGCAGCAGCAGCAGCAGCTGCAGCTGCAGCAGCAGCTGCAGCTGCAGCAGCAGCAGCAGCAGCAGCAGCTGCAGCTGCATTAGCAGCAGCAGCTGCAGCAGCTGCTGCTGCTGTTTCTGCTCCAATCCTTAGCATCCCCTTGGGTACTTCCTACGGCTCCTTGGGGAAAACTCCCCAGGGGCCCCCATTGGGGGCCCCCTTTAGGGGCCCCCTTTGGGGGCCCCCTTTGGGGGCCCTCTTTGGGGGCCCCCTTTGGGGGTTCTCTTTGGGGGCCCCCCTTGGGGGCCCCCCCTGGGGGCCCCTCTGGGATACTTTTGGGGCCCCGAGGGCCCTAAAAAAGGAATAAAAGAAAGGGCCCCTTGTGCTGCCATTTTGCTGCCAAGGCGCCGTTATAGCAGCAGATAAATAAAATTGAATTAAAACTTTAATATTTTATTTAAAATTTAATTTATTAATTCTTTTATTATTTATTTTAATGCTTTATTTGCTGCAGCTCTGCTGCTAAAAGCGCAGCAGCAGCGCGGCTTCGCCCCCCACTGGCCATTCCAATCGAGCTGCTTTTCGCGGCTTCTGCGTCGCCAGCAGCAGCAGCAGCAGCAGCAGCAGCAGCAGCTGCTGCTGCTGCTGCTGCTGCTGCTTGCTCCTCTTCTTCTCCCGGGATGTGTTCAGCAGGAACTTCTTCTTCAACAAAACCACTTGAACGCCAAGCCCTTTCTCTTCTGCTGCTGCTGCAGCTGGTTGCTGCGAGTCTGCGGCCGCGGGCGGCACTTCCATCCAGGCAGACAGCAGCGAAGAGGACCCGTAGTACGGGCTCTGCTGCTGCTGCTGCTGCTGCTGCTGCTGCTGCTGCTGCTGCTGCAGCCCAGGGTAGCTGGTGGTGCACTGAGCAAAGTTCAAAACTGCTGCTGCTTGGCAGCCTTGGAATATATCAATTTCAATTTGGGCCCCACCGAGGGGCCCCCAGACTGAAGGGGGGGCCCCCGGGGGCCCCTTGGGCTGTCGGGGGGCCCCCTGGCTGCTCGTGAAGGCTCCGGAAACCCGCAGCAGCGCAGCAGCAGCAGCAGCAGCGTCCCCTGGCCGGCTTGCAGCGACGCAGCGCCAAGAGGCAGCTGCTGTCGTGTTCATTTCAAGATATTTGTTTATCTTTGCAAAGGGCGACTGCAGCTGGCAGCCGCCGCCATGTGCTGCTGCTGCTGCTGCTGCTGCTGCTGCTGCTGCTGCTGCTGCTGCTAAAGTGGCCTCGAGACCCTCACTCTGCTGGCTTTCGTAGGGGCTTTCTCTGGTGCAATCTGCTGCAGTTTTGGAGACAATTAAATTCCTTCTTGTGTCTTCTCGGTCCCGCGCTGCTGCTGCTAAGCACGCGACTGCTCTGCTGCTGCTGCTGCTGCCGCTGCTGCTGCTGCTGCTGCTGCTGCTGCAGTTGGCATCTTTTTGTGGGGCGTGTAGAGTTGCGAGCTGCTGCTGCTGGCGGGCAGCAGGCTGCTGCGGCGAGTTGCTGCTGGGCAGCAGCAGCTGGCTTTCGTCAATTAAGTCTGCTGCGCTGCATGCACTAAGTGCTGCAGCAGAAGCAGCCAAAGCTGCTGCCACTTTCTGAGCCAAAGTCCCCAGCAGCGAAAGTGGACCACTGGTCACCTGCTGCTGCTGCTGGTCCTCGGGCGGCGCAGCACCGACGGGCCCCGCCACCTCCCCGAGTCCGCCCGCTGCAGCAGCAGCAGCAGCAGCAGCAGCAGCAGCAGCAGCAGCAGCAGGGGTTACCAGGGGTGCTTCCCCCGCTGCAGCCCCGCAGAAGTCTTGGGCTGCTTCTTTTCCCGCGTGCCTGCCCCGTTGGGCGCTGCTGCTGCCTTCCTTCCCCGCCGCTGCTGCTGCCGCCGCTGCTGCTGCTGCTGCTGCTGCTGCTGGCTGCTGCTGCTGCTGCTGCAGCGCCTCCTCCGCGCTGCTGCGCATGCACCCCCCGGGACTTTCTGCTTCGCTGCAGTCCAAAGAAGTCCATTCTTCTTCTTCCATTATTGTTGGACAGTCATGAGGAAGTGCAAATTCAAAACCCATTTGGTGTCGAAAGGGTACAAACACAACAGGCCGCGGCAGCAGGGGGCCCGGGGGCCCCTCGGGGGCCCCCTGGGGGGCCCCCTGGGGGGCCCCCCGGGCTGGGGCTTCCCGGGGGGGCCCCCGGGGGGGCCCCCGGGGGGGCCCCCGGGGGGGGGCCCCCACCTGCGGGGGCGCGGGGGGC